CTTCAGAAAGTGGTGTCCCCTAAGGGGGGTGTAAAGATGTGTGTCCCCAATTGTTACTTAAGTGTGTACGTGTGTGTGTGTGTGTGTGTGTGTGTGTGTGTGTGTGTGTGTGTGTGTGTGTGTGTGTGTGTGTGTGTGTACCTGTGATGCGTGCGAGGCCGGGGATCCTGCTGCCGGCGGCTCCTGCAGCGTGAGCTCCGAGGCTGTGTCCGATGATGTGGAACTTATCAGCCTGCTGCCTGTACTTGCTCTGTAACATGTGTGTTCAATTCAGAGATACTGTACACACTGTGTGTCCCTGAGAACTTAGATATAGGGATGACACTTTTAGCTGCTGAGGCAGCATGAAAATGTTTCATATACAATTTAGCATATGTGTATGAGGATGAATGTATGGACGTGTAAAAACTATTATTAAAGTCTTTACTAAAATCTGTCTCTACCGAACTCAGCTGGAATACTCCTCTAGCCCTTAACCCATCAGTGTAATAACATTATAATAACAGTGTAATAAGAGTGTAATAACAGTGTAATATGGGTGAAATATTGGTCTTACTCGTCTAATAAGGGTGTGATGACAATATATCCTGGGTGTAACATGGGTATAATATGGGCGTAATAGAGGTGTAATGGTGTAATAGGGGTTTATAAATGTGTAATATGAGTGTAATGCCAGTGTAATAACGGGGGGGCATGAGGGTGAAATAACAGTCTATTATGGGTGTTATAAGGAGAGTACAGGTGTTATAATTGTTTAGAATTGGTATAATAAAGGTGTAATAATGGTGTAATATGGGTTGTTTTAATGTGTAATATGGCTGTTATAACAGTGTAATATGGGTGTAATACCAAAAAAAAGCAATTAATACATTTGCAAATATTAATATTTAAATGACTGTTTAAGGTGCAGTCCAGGATGTTTATAACCTTGGCTAGGACTAAACCAAGCCCCAAAATGTCTCTGCCTTTCAGAAGGATTAGGCACAGTTAGTGAGGTGAGGTTACCTTGAGGAAGGTGATCATGGAGACCACCTGGGCAGACACCACCCTGGCGTTGTTGGCAGCCTGCACGTACTGAGTCCTCACGGCTTTCTTCCACTCCACAGCAATGCAGTTCACATTCTCCCAGGTCAGCATGGCCTGGAGACAGCAGCAGCAGAGGTGTGTGAGCGTCAGGTAATAAAAGCAGAGGAATACTAAGTGAGTTAAAGTAGTTTAAATAGAAAGTTAAATCGGTTGATCTGATAGTGACCGGGAACTAATAGAAAATGTAGGGAATACTCTACATGTATTTATTCCCTTCATTTACAAACACTAGTTGATAAAGCTGTACACAACCTTTAAGAAATCTGCTCAGTGGCCTCACTTTGCTTCTAGCTGAGAACCCACACATCTGCTGGGACTCTCTAACCACATGCGGCCCCCCCTCCCCATGATAGCATTCAGCCCAGGTGCACCACTGGATGTTAGTATCAGTTTCTTATTTTTCTGTTATCAACAAAATACAATATAAGTGATTGTGTGTGTAGAGTTCACAGCATGTTACTCTATCACACGGATCAGTGTGTGAATGTTTTCAAAGGGACTGTTTCTCTGGTAGAAAGTACTTTGTGGATTATCAGTGCTGTAAATGTTTTGAGTCCCAAAACATTTACAGCACTGATAATCCACAAAGTACTCAAAGTAAAACCAGATTGTTCTTGGTGAAGGGTTTATTCGGTACATCAAGAACAATCTGATTTAACCAGACTCACAATGTAAGGGCAAAAGAGACAAATATCCCTCTGAGAAAAAGTTGAAAGGAATAAAATAAATCCTTTACGTCACTTGGAAAAGTATCAAAGAGGATTTGAGTGTCAAGTGCAAATGATGACTCTAACAAGCTGGAATAATATTGATATGGAGGGCCTGCTCACCTTACACATCTCCTGGGGCCAGTCCTCGTCTCCTTCCTTCAGATACCCAGGAATGATGAAGCGGGTCTTCCTCGTCCTGCTGTAGTCTGACGCCTGGATGCTTTTATCAGCCTTTATCTCCTGACAGTTTCAAAAGAAAAGCAAAGGTAAACTAATTGAAAGACTTATCTAGCTTTAGTCTTCATTAACACAATACTCACTTGCCCAATATTGAAGTATCCATATAGATCCCTTAAATCCACAGGAAGTGGACAGTCCACAGCAACATTTTGAAAAAAACAACTGATTGAAGTTGATGTGAAGCTTGAGAATGTAACCCACTTTAATCGTCTAACGATATCATCCAAATAATGTGTTTTTTCATCCATCACTGATGTTGACATCATTATAGAAGAGGATATTATTGGCTGCCAGTTTAGAGGAGAGGAGACATTTTAGCCCTGATTAACCATTTGAATGTTCACGTGGGCATGGTGAAATTGTTATAGTATAATATCTCAAACTAATGGTAACCCTCTGTATTGGTTCACTGATCCACAGAGGATCCACAGATAGTGTTTCCATACTCACACAGGATGAGAGACAGCATCTCTTTCCTAACTGTAACATACTAAATGAAAGCTGCTCTTGCCTGGTAGCAACGGTTCTTCTGGGTGAAGAGGAGGAAGCGGGTGCCGATCTCCTCAGGGTGCCAGGGCAGGGCGGAGGATGGTCTCTGAGCGGTGCCCCCCCACGGAGGCAGGTCATCAAAGCAGCCGAGCTCATCGAAACAGACCTCAGCCGCTGAGGACACGCAGGACACAGAACTGAGACCTGACCACATGTGAGGGTCCACAACCCCTCATGCATCCTGACACCTCGGACACATTGTTTTATCAGAAATTACTTTTTCCACAGAACTTTAGGAAAAAGACAGATGATGAAAGTGACAAACCATTCATCTTGGAAACATTAAATATATTTGTATTTAAAAGGTACAAGTTTCAAACATACCTTTGGTTTATTATGCACTTTACCAGATTATAGCTTTACGATCAAATATATTAAAACTAAATTAAGAAAGCACAACAAGAAAAAGTAAAAACAAGATACAAGACACACAAAATAAAAACACAAACAATAGCACATCACAAATTCAAAGTCATTAAACAAATACATTAGATTTCATGTTCAGTCTAAAGTGGATTCGATTTATTTTGACTGCATCTCTGGGAAACACACCAAATGTGTCAGGCTGAACGTGTAAAAGGAATCCTTAAGACATTTAGAGTATTTGCATTTGATTTAATATTGTATCAATAAGGAACATGGACACTTAGGCCTGAATATTGAACTGTTATAGCTTTAATAAAGAAGTGACCAGGCTGCAGTTTGTGATACTGTCAGACATGTTGGAGCTTTGATTGATTGAATTTATTCTTGATTAAAAAAAGACAAATCTCATTACATAGAATACAAATACATGAAAGCCTGAAGGCGTTATTCCATTATGGTTCTCCAGTAAAACACTTCACACAGCACATGCACACAACAACACCACGGTGCAGAGCCACTTATATATTGAACCAATCAAACTCCAAGACCCCTTTACTTTGCATTTAAATACAGTGTATACTGCTGTATACTGTATTTACGCTCAGTGTATTTATTCTTATTTATACATTTGACATCTCTTTACCTTTACTTGTATCATTTATTTTGTACAGACTGCTGATAGATATGTATATAACTGACTGTTTGCACTTTGGTTAGACCCTCTTAATTTCTTTACACTCTGCTTTTATTATGTAATGAGAATAAAGTAATCTAAACTAATCTAATTTCAGTGAAAGCAAATCGATAAATCCAATTTACCATATGCTGTTCCGATGAGGAAAAAGAGCAGACTCCACATGTGTGACATCTGTGGACATGAAGGGTTTTTAGTTGTTAAATAAAGGAACAGGGTGATGAACAGGCTGATGTTGTGTACTTACCTTGAGTCCAGACCACAACGTTGTGAGCCCACTGGTCAGCCCTTTAAATACTGCAGCCAGCTGCCGGTGTGCCACGCAGCAGTGGGAAACACACAGGTGAGGCACACATACATGTGGAGGTGAGGAACAGGTCAGCAGTTACATGTGTTCTTCACACGTGTTCTTCATGCTCTGAACTCTTCCAATGCAGATGTCCTCAGTGACTGGAACATGTCTGTTCTATATCGGCAGCTGGGGAACCCAATAAACTGTTAAACCTGAAGTATCATCATCAGCATATAAACATTACATAGACATTACACCACACGATTATACAGTTAACGCTGAAAGCCTTTGTTGTCACTGTAGAAAAATATACAACAAGGTTTTGGAGTGCAACCCTGTCCCAGCGCGCAGTAACGAATACAGACAAACAACTAAAAAAAAGTATTTATTTTAATCTTTTATTTGGTAGGGACAATGCACATCAATGAACACTTAAAACAATAAATGTGCCAAGGGTAAATATGCCGGATTTAGCTTTGAGCTACTTTCCATCCGAAGTACCTCACATAAAACATTTAAGAAAATGAAATTTACAAACATAGCAAATACAAATACAAATACATGAAATGCAAGAAAAGTGCAAAAGAGCAAGAGCAGAATACACAAGTATGTATGACATGGCAATACAATATAGCAGCACCGATACATAAAGTGCAAGAGGAGATACCCCTGTGTTAAAGTGCATTTAGCGGTGATTACACGTCTGTTTGTTTCTCAACCATTCTTTGAGTTGACC